CCCTTGCTAGACACCAAATCTATAACGTGACCTTGGATGTCCCAGCCCTTCAGAACAATGAGAAATGCTTATCTACCTACTGTATAGTATTTGCTCTTTTAAAAATCTGAATTACAGACTTAGACACAAAGTTTAGGTTTAGGTCTGCTCATAGCTCCCAGTATGAGTTCTCTTTGCTAACTTGCTTATCAGTTAAGTGAGCTTAACATTCTTCCATCTTCCCAGGACATCTTAATAAAATAAAATTACATATTTGAAGTTTAGTAAAGCTAAAGATGTTATATAAAAACAGGAGCTCCCTATCCCAACCTCCTATCTTTATTTCATTCTATAATTTTGTTTCATTTTTGAATGTTTCATTTTAGGATGAAGCTGTCTATTCTATGAATTGTACTTTATTTTGGCTTCCTCAATTCTGCTTACTCAGCCAGGATCATCAAGAACCTCGGGGTGTTACTTGGTCATGCATTTATTTTTAAGGGTGTGTGTGTGTGCGCACACGTGTGAGTATGGAAGCCCTCGGTTACCAGAATACCTTGGATCCCCTGAGTTGGAGATATATAAGTGGTTGTGAGCTCTTCCATCTGGGAACTGAATTCAAGTCCTCTACAAGTGCAGTGTGTGTCATTAGTCACTGAACCATCTCTTTCCCTTACTGTAACATCAAACAGGTGAGCCATAGAACAGGTCTCCTTCTGCTTTGCACTTTTTCTACATAAGTCATCTGTCCCATAACTAGTTCTTTAAATGCACTGAGGCAGCATGCATGCATGTGTCCTTGGATGTCAAGGGCACTAAGGCTCCCCAGGAACTGGGCATACATCCCTCAGAAGATGACCTTCACAATCTTGACAGATCTAGGCTATCATAGCGCTTCCAGTTCTGGGTGCAACATTATAACAACTTGCTTAACAGTTATTGCTCAAGGTCCTCAGGGAATCTGCCCAAACTAGACTAGAAATGCTCAGCTTTCTTTTTAGGATTCTGCATGCAATGAAGGAAGACCATGGTAGTGATGGCACAGCAGTGAGGGTTGGAAGGACAAGAGGAAGGAGAGGAGGAGAGAGGGTAAGGCTATCAAGGTTATTAGTGCTCTACTCAGACCAGGGATGGAAGCCTCAAACTTAGAGAGGAGTTCATCCCTAGAATTTACAAACAACTAAGTTGCCAATTTATTCCTCTTCCCAAGGGGTTGCTGAACATGGTCTCGGGCTGTCATCCCTTCTTTTCTACTCAGCCTTGAGATGAAAGGCAGATGAGGGAGGCAGGGCACAGCCCTTCCCCATTTACAAGCCAGCTGCCACCAAAGCAAAATGCCCTCCCTCCTTTCCCCTCTAAACTAAACAGTAGTTTGTCAAACGGGTGAATAAGAAGAAAAGTGACAATTTTCCTTTATGTTAATAAATTGCTTTGGCCTAAAAAAAACATTAATCAATTTCTTTCCAAAGCATACACACTTCTCAATACTCTGCTATTTGCTTGGCCTTGAAAAGAAAGTCACTTTCAATCCCCTTTAAACTGTCAAGACCAGTACGGGGAGGCACATGGGGGGAGGGGCAACTCCCTAAATCCTAGTGATTATAATGGAACCCTGCTGTGTTTCCATAGAAACATAAAGATGCATTCTTCCCTGAATGTACATGAGGGGAGGAGTGAAGAGCAAGGTATACAACGTCTGAAGCACTGGGGGTGCTGGTGAGGAGGTGAGGCATTTGTCCCTAAGAGATGAAGACAGAGCACTCAGTGAAGAGCAGCAGAGTGGCTGGAGACTGTGCCCCACTGTGCCCCACGAAGCTCGATCACACCTGTTACAACCTCCCATCAGCATGACTACCCCATGGTTAGGCGGTTATTGTAACTCCCACATACAGCTGAGTCCTGGGGAAGAAAGAAAGTTGTTCAGGGTCAGCCAGCCAGGAAACCCAGGAGCACTCAACTCAAAAGCCTTTTGCTTCAGCCTCTGTGATGGGTAGCACTTCAAGTCAAGAAGAGGAGACAGAGTTTACATGCTGTCTTCTAGCTATTTCCTTCCCAGATCTGCCACTTCTGGGCACATGATTAGACTCGCTCAGAAACATGTTTTCTAGTAGGTGTAGAGATGTTTGTAAATATTGGGAAATGTAGGCATTTCATTATTGTTAGTTTGCTTTGGATTACGCAGTCAGAAGCTTCACACAGAAGGAGAGAAAAAGCAGCCAGTGGTACATGCATGCTCAGGTAACTTGGTAGGAACACAAGGACAAAGACCTGGAAAGAAGGGCTACTTGAGAAGTGGGAAGTATGTTTGGATCACCTATCTTAAACTCTGGGAAACAAGATCCACAGGGATGATGTCCTGGTCTGACTAGCCAAGTCATTGGAATTTAGCATCAAAGTAAGTGGATGGATGGATGGATAGGTGGATGGGTGGATGGGAAGATGGGTGGGTGGATGGGTAGATGGGTGGGTGGATGGGTGGGTGGATGGGTGGGTAGATGGGTGGGTGGATGGGTAGATGGGTGGGTAGATGGATAGGTGATGGATGAATAGATGGATGAATGGATGGATGGATGAGTAGGTGGGTAGGTGGGATGTTCTATATCAGGAAGCATGGGACCTTAGCATGAACATGTATTAGTTGTTTCCTTTGGCTTCATTTTATACTTTATAATGAAGATTGCTTGTGACACAGAAGGTAAAGCAAGGCTATTTCAGGAGCCAAAAAAAAAAAAAAAAAAAAAAAAAAAAAAAACTGTGAATATGACTGCTCCTTATCAACCAAACATGCATACCTCCATTGGCACAGAGGCTGAGCATCAGAGCTTGCAACTAGCTCCTATAAACTCCTTTCTTGGTGCAATGCAGAGGTTGCTTGCAATGACCATCTGTAGCCTCTGGATCTATCTCCCAAGTTTCATCATGGTAGGAGCAGGTACAGGTGATGTTGACAGGAAGCTGCTCCATCACCCAAGTCAAACTAGGGTGCAATGCCGGGCAATAGTGGGAGGATGAGACTCAAGGTGTAGTTTTGGATGTCTCTGAAGACTGAACTAGCAAACCATGGGCTTTGGCTAGAAGGTCTTGAATTGTTGATAATGTGGAATATCATTTACTAGAGACACAAAGCTACCAATCTAGCAGTGCTGGTGCTAGCTGGCTAGACATTGCATCTATCTGTCACTCCTTCCTCAGCATCTCAAGAAGGATCTGGCATGTGGACAGTACTTAATCAATCTTGGCTGAATGTCGGGGTGAACATGTGGGTGCCTAATCAGTGTTGCATATTGAACACACACCTGTTTTCTACCCTTGCCTGTGACACTGGGAGTGGGAATCATACTTCTTCAACAGAGGACTACTCTGCTACTTTAAAATGGGGAAATGACTTGCAGTTGATGGGCTCTGGAGCCTTGCTTTGAAAAACACAATCTGTGTTCCATCATTATGTAGGTCAACCTGCCAGGAGTATGTCCCTGTAGAGAGAACCAGAGAGTAGCAGAAAGACAAGGATGTCCAAAGAGGAGAGGAGAATCAGGAGGAAGGTTACTGACACCTCCTCATGCTGGCTACACGACAGGCCACTCTGCCCTTCTGTCTCTTCCATTTCAGAATGCTCAGGACAATGCTGCACTGTGGGCTTCCTTTCTTACATGTGACAATAGTGATTTACTTCTACAGCAGTGCTAACTCTGATCTTAAGCTCTGGGAAGTGACACAGGTATCACAGACAGTGGCAGGCAGTCTTTTAATGATGGCTGATTTTTAGCACTTGCTGGGCATAAAGGCCCCTGCCAGTCATGCTACATCCCAGAGCATCTTTTTTTCTTCGAACACAGCGTTTTATCCCACCCAGCTAACAAAGGGCATGCCCCGTCTTTATGACTGTATTTCTGCTATTTTCTACTCTCCCATGTTAACTTCACAGCTGAGGACATTCTGAGGATACACATGATGAGCATTTAGCACTGAAATGTAGCCAAAAGTAGATGGGAAGTGAACAGTCAAGGACACAGGTTGGGAAGGGTTGCCTAACAGGGTTTGTTCTTCCTATCCCAGTTCTCTGGATTCAGGGGAAACTAAGCAGAGTGAGGAGGAAAGCAAAGGGTCCCCAACACACATTTACCTCCTTTCTTGGTACAATGAAGCCAAGGGGACAGTAGGCTCCTTCCTTTGACCCAGGTTCTTTTCTGACTCCACATTCCTGGGGCTTCTGGGCATCTTGGTCCCATGTGGCCTCGTGTTTACTTCATAAACCTTTTTGGTAGTAATCACAATACCAATGAAATAGACTGTACATTAATAACTCCAAATAAATATATAAAATAGGAGAAAGGAGAGGGTATCTATCCACAGAGGAGTTTCTCAGTTTCTCTGTATGGAGGAATGCTGAAAGGTAGCTTTATATGTGAAGCTCTCTAAGACAGATTGCTGAGAGATAATTCAAAGAGTATAGTGTATCAGTTGTAATCATGTTAATAATGCAGAAATAGTACTTAACATATGCAGAAGGATTATTGTATGCTAGGCACTGCTCTGGTCATGTCTCTTGACATCATCTTACTTTACATATTGATTTTAAAGAAAGCATTAACAGTAGATGCCATTATTCTGCTTTACAGATGAGGAAACTGAGCTCAGTTTGATTATGTGTGACTTTATATTATTTACATGTTAATAAATTAGCTTTCATGTGTATTGTTAAAAAGCAAACATTAGCAATGAAGATCACTAAACAAAGATGAGAAGGAAGTTAGACCCAATAGTTACTGGATACTGAGATGCTCTGAGCTTCATTTACTTGACAATAGTCTCCATGAGGTATCATTAAATTATAATTCAATGGGGAGGAATGGGAGAGTCTGAGAGATGTTTCAGCTCTCCCAAGGCCACACAGGCACTCGCTCCCTAATGACACAGTAATTGATCCCAAGGCCCTACTCATGTGTGCTCTGGGTAACAGGATGCTAAAACCAGTGTGTGTTATTGTGAAGTTACTCTCCTTCCTTCTGCTTGTGTTCCAGCGTGGAGTATGACTTCCGGCAGCAGGAAGGCAGGTTCCATGAGGTTCTCCAGAACCTGGAGGAGGCAGAGCCAGCTGAGGAAGCACCTTCTCCACCCAAATCCCCAGCTGAAGCCCCGGTCCCTGAGAAACAGGACTTACGGCGGAAAAGCAAGAAGGTGAAGAAGAAATGTTTCTGGTGGATATGAGAGGATTGGGGCTCCCCACACTCCTTCCTGAGGCAGGGGGTGCCTTGTCATCAAGGCCTTCCTTTTCCTCTCCAAAAGCCCAGGCTGAGATCCCTTGACTTGTGACATGGGAGTGCCTCAGAGCTGGTACATTGTTAGACACCTGGTCACCAACCTTACCTGAGTGCGTGCCACTGCTTGCTGAGGACTTTGTGGCCACTTGTGTGTCCACTTGCTGAGCTGCCTGTCACACACAGCAGGGCCTCATCTTCATTTGCTAAGTTCAGATTCCCACCTTAAGCAAAGCCCTACTGTACTCCCAACACTTAATGACAACAAACATTTGCTTCCTACCCTGAGTTCATCAACCCCAAAGAAACAGATACAAGTGTGTGTGTGTGTGTGTGTGTGTGTGTGTGTGTGTGTGTGTGTATGCTGTATACTGCAGAAAGACAAAGGTTATAAGCAGGCATCCTAGAAAATAATCCCACAATGAAGTAGCATGGTTCTAGGAGTTATCACACAAAAGCACAAGAAAAGTGAGCAGGTCCTAACAATACCAGGTCCCCCTGATGTATTAAGTTGTCCTTTTATTTATGTACTTATTTTTCTTTTCTTTCTTTTTTCCTTTCTTTCTTTTTTTCTTAAGTAGCCCTTAAATCTCTAATCAAGGGGCTGTCTTCTTGTAAAGTTTGGGCCATGCAGGGTGGCGAAGTAAGGTTGTATGTGGTTATTAGGCACTTGATGTATGATTGTTCTATGTGACTGGAACTCAAAGGACTTTCACAGCTGTAGTCTTTCTGGGGCAACTTCACTATCATACGTCTCTGTGTGGCAAGTGGGATGTAAATGAGAGGGGCTTTAACTTTAGGATCTCACCATTCGTTTACCTGTAACATGAAGGGTCATAAGACTCGGCAACCTGTATGTCAGTACATATTATCAAGCAACATTAATAAGGCTGAGCTACGATACAGCACTTTTTTCTCATCTGTGCATCCTTGTGACAACCATGTAGATAGGCTCAAACATGCTACTCTACAATTTCTCTTCCTGGTGACTAGGCTGTGGTCACCTGATCTAGGAAGAAGTGGGACTGAGAATACAGAGGAAAGCCCCTTCCTCCACAAAGTTTGAATTCCATAAGATCTGGCTCATTCTGTAGACAAGACCTTTGCCCATGATGTCCAGTCAAGTTTGCATGCCAAGCAAACTCCTAAAGCAGTGTAATTAAGTAATTGCTACATACTCGGGCTGAGCAGGAAGCAAGGCTTGGATTCCTTTGCATTAAATTCTGTATTCTGCCAGCCTATGATTGGACTGACACTGTCAGAAACATGAGCCACAGCTACATGAAAAAAGGCATTTTATAACCGTCCCCCTTGCTGAAGACCTGGTGTCGTGTGAGTCTCTGCTGCGCACGTGGGATGTGCGTACCCCACTGCAAATTGAGACTAATTGAGCAAACCGCCCCAACAATTTCACTTCCCCCTGTCACAGTGCTGGAGTGCAAAAGCTATTTCAGGGAGAGCAAGGGAAATTTGGCAAGGAATCTTGGCTTGCACTATTTAAGTCTTGGGATGTCATTTGAGATGTTCTTTCTCTGTTTCTAGTGTAATGTTTAAACCCACAAAGTGAGACCAGAATATATAACATCAAGTTAGAATTAAGATGAATATACTTGCCATGCTTAAGAAGCCACATTTCAATTAGATATGTTACCACTGGCCAAAAGCCACAGATCTTTCTTTCTGTATCCACACACTCAACTCTCAGTTGGCCTCAGCAATGAGAAAAAAAAAAAAAAAAAGTACAGAGGATAATCCAATAAAGCAAAATCATTTGGGATCTCTTATGTAATTTTATCTTGTAGTGGTGCTTCCATTTTAATTTGTTTTGCTTTGCTTACATTAATTTCAAGTGAATTTATATTCCACAGCATCAGGCTGGAGTGAAAATATTCTTGCACTTGGATTTAGAGATCCAGGCAATAGAGTAGCCTATTCCACTAACCTGGAGAAAGTGGTGTGATTGTGTCCTGTCTTGACAGGGGAGAGGAATGACTACTCCTCCTGTTTCCTAAGCTCTGTGTATCTTGTGATAGCCAGGGGAGCACAAACTGTGAGAGCTGGTTGTAGCCTTTTTCCTGGTTAGCCTGGAAAGGTGAGGAGATGTCTGAAGTAGTTCCTGCCTTTACACACACATGTGAGTTAGGGACCTTGCATAAACTCCTAACTGAATGAGATGAAATTAGGACTGGAGAATGTTGATATTCCCAGAAATAAAACCAACCAAGAGTATGTGATTCTAAACCAAAGCACAACACCACATTGCATTGCTTAGGCCATTAACCTGCACCTGGAGAGGAGGAGGTTCTTTCCGATAATTGAATCCTCAAAATCAGTATGTGGGAAAAGGATTTGATAAATATCAGCCTGCTACACAGAAAGGCTCATCTGTGCATTAAGTAAAAACCATATATACCAAAACTCTATATTCTGCTACTTGTGTTGAGTACCACTGCTTCTTTGTAAAATAGTGTGTAATATGATAATCTACAGAAATGTTATACTGAGATTATATGGTTTTATGCAAAGAGATTAATTTAGCAAAAATTACTTTTATGAAATGGAAGGGACTGACTCATTTGTTTAAATTGCAGGGGTTTAATGTAGCTGTTCCCTCTATAGTTAAAACACTATCCCTGGAACTTAACGCCAGCTCATCTATAGAGCGCCTTCTTGAAGACAATGTATCACTGTAAGGTTTTGTAAATTTCTAAACTGTTTTAAATGGGATATTATCTTTTGCAATAAACTTAAGTATTTTTCCTAGGTCTTAAGACTCCATTATTAGTTTGGAATTGAGTTGTGAAATTTTAACAAACAAACAAAAAGCCTTACTGGTTCCATAAGCAAAGATAGTTATATTTTGTTTATAAATAAAATACTGATCCTGAAGTGCCTGTGGCAGCAATCACAGGAACCTTGTATTCTGGCCTGAACCAAAGAGACATTCCCAGCTGCATTCAAAGGAACACACATCTTATTTGTAGTCTATCTTTATGCACAGACACCTAACTCTGCCTTGGTTCATATTTCCCTTTAATTACTTTCTAATAAACAGTTTTCCTTAAAGGACATATTTGGATTGCCAATACTGAGAGAGAGAGAAAAAAACATGAAATAGTAGTTTGATTAAATTCAAATGAATCCCCGTTTTTGAAGGTTGAGGGAACTAAGCATGAGACCAGTCCAGTTATGGAAAAGGTATTGGCAAATATTCAAAGTGTTCAATGGACATTAACACCAAAACCATGTTATGTTCCCTTTGACTAGTTGGAGAGAGAGAACTGAAAGGAAAGGAACTTTTTCATCATAAGAGTCAGTGTTTGCCTTGTCTCTGGAGACTTGTTCTTGTCAGGAGTGAGACCCCCACTCTGGAAAATAACAGCTTACTGGAAATGAAAATAAAGCAAAACCCTGGACATGGAAGCAGAAGTCCTGGGTTTGGCAGCATTTTTTTCCTGAGTGACCCCATCAGCTGAGTTTTTGATCCTGCGTCTTATGAACCAGAGCCCCCATCTTAAAAGGAAACAGTGTAGGGTACACAGCAGGTGCCCAGTAAATGCACATTCATTTCATTGCTCATTTAAGTAAATTGGGAGGAAGAAGGGAGCAGTTGGCATGAGATGCAGGTTTAAGATCTTCTCAGGGTAAGGAACTAACTCATCTAGCTTATCAAAACTATACCAAGCAGGACAATGTGTTCTCAGAAGAACAGGTGAACCATCACATCCAGCACAGCATTCTGAGGAAAGAAGATTGTGGTGCTATCAAATTCTCAGATGTGGAAAAGCCTTGGAGAACCAGGCCTTTCTGAATACAGCATGAGGCATCGAGGTATAAGTGGATGATTCGCCCAAGGCTACTAGAACTGGGGAAATGGGTCCTTGGAGCACCAATGTTAGTGTGCAACATGTGATGTGCCAGCCCAAGCCAGACATCACTCACAATAGACCTGAAGTCCGTTCTTATGCTTGTCTGCTGAGCAGAGTCCCTGGCATGATCTTTACTTGCAAAGGTTCTAATTTTAGGCCACTCTGGGCAACTTGATGGATGCTAAAAATACATCTGGTTTTAAGTTCCAAACCACAAAGATGTTTTATGAAAGTTACTCCAATCAAACAGGAAAGGGCTGGGGCACGCATCCAAATTCAGTACTGACTGTTTTGCTATGATCCATGTTTGGCCAACTTAATGATCATAATTGCCCTTTTGAGCACTTCCATCTCAATTCCTTCCCATCTCCCTTAAACCCTTAAGCCTGAAATACCTCGTGACCATGTGATACTACTCCCAAACCCAAAATTTCACAAGTTCAGGATTTCTTCCTGCCTTCTATAGAGTTCTCATCCCACAAAAAACAGAAATCCACCTTCAGATACTACAGAGATTGGTTCTCCCTTCAGGTCAGACAGCTTCTCCACAGCAGGTATCTTATTGCCTTCTACCACAGTAAGATCCCCTAAAGGGTCTATGAGAACCCTTTTTAGAACATATTTACCACACTACACCTCTCCCTGCCCAGTTTCTGACAACAGGTAATGCCATCCCAACCAACCACCACCATGACCATAAACCACACCCAATGCTCCTCTCAGTCATTTATCTACACCAGGAACCCTGCCCTCAAAGTCCATGACACAGTCATCTTTGGGCATATATCCGCATCAATCTTTAGTGAATGTACTTGCCTCTATCATGTTCCTGAGAAGTAATCCTGCTTATTGCCAATTGCCTAAGCGTACCCAGCACTCACCACAGTGGACCTTAGATAGGTGTTCAAGGGACAAGTTAATTAGTAAATAGGATCCAGTGAAGGAGACACTAACTCTCAACCCCGGCTTTCCCATACCCATCTGATGGGCACTCACAAGGGACGGCACAGTGCTGGCACCCAGCCTCGGTATCTGTACCCATCGAGTTGGAGGCTTTAGCAAGGAACACTGCTATTGCGGTTAAATAATTATCAGGATAAACAAATAGGCCGAATAGATGTTTATTCAGGGAGAAATAACTTACAACCTAGACAGATGAACACCAGCAAGTTCCACCTGATGCTCTCCTGTCCGAGTCCTGCCAGCAAGAGAGCTTTCCCCAGACCTCCTTCCTCAGGTCACTTCTGCCCATGGCTCCACCCCCCAATGGGCGTGGTCAGTGCCACAGAAGGAGACAAAGTAAATATCTCACTACACACTGCCCCAGGCCTTCAACTCTTCTATGGTC